GAAAGGGAAAACTTCAGAACAACTAAGTTCCACAGAGACCCAGTTGCTTGAGTACCTTGCATCAAGTCTGGGAAGGTCATTGGATTTTACAGTTATGTGATGTCAGTTGGTATCCCTCCTCTAAAGTCTTATCCTGCTATAATGATAGCAGGATACTTCATTTGGAAGTGGAGGTGACTCAGAGTTCTTGGAGATTTTGTCAAAGAAGCACAGTCTTTAAAAGACTCCCAAATCTTGGTGATAGACTGGGGGGGTCTTTTATGTGTGGACCAGCCTAATTAAATTCAGAGAGGCTCACCCCCAAAAGGTAGATCACCACGTGTTTTTTGTTTGTTTGTTTGTTTTTCACCTAAAGCACAGATCTGATCATGACACTTCTCTACTCAATAAACTCCAGTGGCTCCCTATTGCCTCCAGAATCAAATATAAAATGCTCAGTTTGGCTCTTTATAACCTAACCTCCTTTTTTTTCAGTCTGTTTACACTTTATTCCCTACCATGTATTCTTTGATTCAGTGACAGGGGCCTCTTTGTTGTTCCATGAACAAGACATTGCATGTCTTAGCTCCTGGCATTTTCTCTGGCTGCCTTCCATGTTTGGAATGCTCTCCCTCCTGACTACTGGCCTCCCTGGCTTTAAGTCTCAAATAAAATCCTATCTTTTACTGGAAGACTTCCCTAGAATTTCATTCTGGTGCCTTCCTTTTTAATTATTTCCTATTTATCTTATATGTAGTTTGCTTTGTATATATTTGCTTGCATTTTCTCTCCCCCATTAGATTCTAAGCTCCTTGAGGGCAGAACTCTTTTGCCTCTTTTGTATCCCCATCACTTAGCACATAGATGGCACTTAATAATGTTTACTGATTGACTGACGGATTAACAGAACCTCACAAAGTCCATCTACTAAGGCACCAAGGGAAGAAGCAGATGATAGTCTTGCTGTACTTGGCATTTGCTGTCCTTGTACTTAGACCACATCTGGCTAATTATTTTCAGTTCCGGGCAACACATTTTAGAAAGAACACTGATAAACTGTAGAGTGTCTAGAGGAGGACAAGGAGGATGGTAAAGATCCTCTACTCCACTCCTTACAAGAATTAGTTGCAAAGGAACTGGGAGAGTATAACTTAGAGAAGAAAGGCCAGAAGGGAAGGAGGGAAATGACAAGTATTTGAAAGCTTGTCATGTCAGATACTAGATTTGTTCTGTTTGGCCTCATAGAGCAGACCTAGAAGCAATTAGAATAAATTGGAAAGAAGTAAATTTAGGTTTAATGTAAGGAAAAACTTCCTAACAATTAGAGCCATTCAAAAACGGAACTTCCATGTAGCTGGTTCCCCCTTACTGGAGGTTTTCAAAGGCTAGATGACTACTGGTTGGGTCTGCTATAGTGGGGATTTTTTGTCATTGTTGTTGTTTTGGGTTAAATCAGATCAATTTCTCAATTAACAAGTATTTTGTTACCAAAAAATTATGAATTTTGATAATTTCATTTGGTCGACAAACAGCACAGGCTGTGGTTCCACTTACTAAACAACCTTTCAGATACCCTAGCTTGGTTTCTTTATGTTGTTGTTGTTCAGTCATTCTATCATGTCCAACTCTTTGTGACCCTGTAGATCAACTGTCCAAAAGGTTTTCTTGGCAAAGATACCCAAGTAGTTTGCCATTTCCTTCTCCAGTTTTATGCAAGAAGGGGTTAAGCGCCTTGCCCAGGGTCACATAGCAAGTAAGTGTCTGAGGTCATATTTGAACTCTGGTCTTTCCAACTCTAGGCCCAGTGTTCTACCCACTGTGCTGATGGGGTGTGGCCCAAGTGGAGGTCTTTGCCCCTTGATCCAAAGGGAATCTGGCTCCCATTTGTCTACAGACCCCAGCCCCTCATCTCCCTTTGAAAGCCTTAGCCTTATCTTTTAATCTTATTCAGATGTGCCTTTGCCCCTAGCCCTAAAAAGAATCTGGCTCCCATTTTAGGTTCCTTATCAACTCCCCTTGTCAACTTCCCTTATTTCACTTTGAAAGCCCTAGCCCCATCTTTCTCATCTCATTCAGATGCCTTTCTATTCCCATTGTCTATTCAATCTCTTAGACATTCCAATCGGAATTCTCACCCGGACCATTTTCCCAGACCCTTCCCCTGGTCACCCAAAGTCACTTTAGTATATAAGATCTACCCTGGCCCCGATTCAGGGCCTGAGAATCTCTCAAGCCCAAAAGGCTGAGCTTTTCTCATGCCCGTTCGTCCTTATGGGTGTCACCTAGCCTACGTGATTTATCACTAATAAATTTTTCCTCCGGCTGGAAGAAGATTTGAGTTGAGTTCTTTCAGATAGGGCCCGGCGTCGTAATCTTGGGGGTTCCCAGGAGCACCCCAAAACCTCTAGACCTCTTCAGTGCCTCCTAGGGTTTCTTTATGCCTTTGTTCTAATTGAACTGGAAGTTGAAATACAGTGAAAGGCACAAATCAAGACACAATCCCATATGTTCTACTCATCTGTGATATTTTACCCCCCCAAAAGAGTCAAATTTAGTAAAAAACATTTTTACTGATTTATTTGAATACCTTAAATTACAAAATCAGCATCTAAAGCAGGCTTGTATTATAAGACAACTCTAAAAGGATGAAGAGCTTTGGGGATAAATGCAAAGGCCCACACAGGCTCAAAAAATCAACTATACAACTATAGAATTGAGATGGAGTTAGACAATAGTCATGTGAAAAGGAGTATGGGGCTTTAGTGAACTGAAAGCTCAGACAAATCAATTCTGCAAAGCGGTAGCCCCAAAACGACCATCTTAAGCTTCTACATTAATATCTAATGTCCAGAATGAGAGGTCACAGTCCTGCTGTATTCTGCCCTAGTCAGACCACATCTGCCTTGGGTTTTGTGTTTAAATTAAGTTGCCACATTTTAGGAAGAGTATTGATGTGCTTGGGTGTGTACGGAGAGGTAAGGACAGGAACTGAAACTATGATTTCAAGGGAACTTCCAAATGAGGAAATTCCCTCTACCACGCAGATCAGCCCCTTCCCTGCAACTTAGTCTTAAAGTCTCCTGCACTAAGAGTTTAAATGACCAGCCTGAGGTTGAATAGCCAATATGTGTCAGAGGTGAGACAAAATATAAAGAGGAAGAGGATTATGGTGAGGGTACAAAAAATCATTTGAAAGAACTGAAGATGTTTAGCCTACACAAGACTTAAAGAAGGGTCATATGAATTAAAATAATTAAATAATTAAAATCAGAAGAGATCTTCACAGTCATTTAATTTTTCCCACCTGATGTGCAGAATAAGCTGAGTTCCTCTTTTGTTTCTGGTCCTCACCTTTCATCCTATTCATATTCTTATCATTTGAGGTTTGATGATGAATTGGTTAAAACTCTAGTTCTGGTTGAAGAAGAAACAGCCAATAGAAAATGTGCCTCCTTTCTGAGGTTCCAGTATGCTTTTGAAGGGTCTCTTTCCTCAAATATCCCTAGAACCCATCATAGTTGCTCTGTTCTTTGCACCTCAGTACCTCATCATTCCACAAGATCCCATCAGCCTTGGTGCTCCACCTCATCGCTAGACCCCACTGAAGGTCACTGGGGCCATGTACTCCAAACTCTTAAGAAGGGAGCTCAGCTGGAACCTGACTACACGACTTTAGGACTTTCCTAACTTCTCTACCATGGGTTGAGTACCCTCCTGTCTCCTCCTCTCCCTGCCCCCTTGAGCTACCTTTTGTGCCTGGTCTTCCCCCATTAGATTGGAAACTCCTTGAGGGCAAGGATTATAAAACAACCCTAACACTATTCCTTCCAGCTCTGGAATTCTATTTATCTATTTCCTAGATAAGATTGCAAACCTTTTAAGGTAAGAGTTGATTATTAAGATCATTTGAGCCCCAATGAGGGCCAAAGCCTGAACTAATCAACCAGAAGAAGCACCCCAACATTACAGACAAGCTTTTTCTTTGTTCTCTGAGTGAACTCAAAATGCCCCTTCCTGTGTCAGCAACTGATGGGATGCTTGGGTGCTTGTGTTTGGGTGGCTTGTACTTGGACCCCAAGCCTCAGAAACACTATGCCTGGCAGTTTCTCCTCAGCCCAAGTACACTGTGCCTAACAATTACTCATGAGTGGGCCCCAGCAAGACCCTCATCTCTTTCCCTGGTGCAGTTACAAACAGCACCTGAAGGAATTATTAGTTTGAACTTATTAGTTTGAACTGGCTTTGCACTGGGTCATAAAGCTATTCTTACCCACTGGACTATTACCGTCTACCTCATTATCTACATCCTGAACTCCTCATTATCTGTATTCTAGACTTAAGCCATATGTATACTCCCTACATCTATCTTGTCAAACAAGACATTGACTGGTGGCAGACTGAACAACCCTCAGTTACCCCTGAACTCTAGTTAACTTAGTGATTTAGCAGGTCTAAAACCACACCTCCATGTGGCCCCCCTTGTGGGCTTTTCCTAGTGAACTCTGGCTAAAATGCCTGCGAGGTAGGTACAAGAAGTGCATGTTCTTTTAAGAACCACTCCTTAACCACTCCCTAATCCCACCCTGAATCACCTAGTTAGCATATTTGGTACCCATTTTATTGTATTTTACCCTGTATAAACTTTAACTGTACCCCTCTAAGATCCAAGGTTCCTTAAGAATCTTTGCCTGCTGAAAAGCATAACAATAAACTTTTTGCCAACTTGACTTAAGGAATGCTTGAGTCTGTGAATTCATTCCAGCCACCACAACACAACTACAGGACCAGATGAAGCTGACCAGCATTCTCCTGTTTATGACCATTAAGGGGCCTCAGACCCAGACACTACCCTGAATAATAGGACTTTTCTTATCTTGGTATCCTGTGGACATATGTCATGTAGGGGAAACATATCCTGGGACTATAATTTCAATTCACACTTTAATACTTCTATCTTATTGCATTTACAACCTACTAAATTAAGAAAATTCCTTTCTCATGCTATGGTTAAACATATATGGAGACCATAAATCTTAGTGGTACAGACAGAATCTATGAATACACAGCTGGAATAGAAGAAGTGGCTTAAACGTCTGATGAGGATTTGCAAATGGACAGGACCTCGGAAAGCTATCTAGCCCATCTCGGTCCTTTTAAGGATGAGGTGGCATTAGAACCAAGGTCCTGGGTCGCTCTGACCCTAAAGCCAGAGCTTTCTTCCTCGGTACCGCATGTGACGTCCCCAACCCCGTTTGATTGCGCTAAAGTAGGGCAAGGCCCGAAGGTTTCCGGAGGGATGTATGACACGTGATAAGTCACGTCACGGTATGAGGTCAGACTAAATGCCGGTGCAAAGCAAGGCTTCCCACTACGCCAATGTCCGCCCGAGGGGGGCGCCCTACGGCCGCGCCAGGACCTCCAGCACATGCGCATCGCCTAGCCGCCTCCATCTACTTCCAACCCCGGAAACCCGCCCTTCCTTCACCCATTCCCTCCCCGCCTCCCACAACAATCTCTCAAGTTCTTCCAGCTGCGTCTGTAGCTGCCGGAAAATGTTACAATCCCGGAAAGCACCGCGCGCCTCAGAACTTCCGGTCCACTCGCTTCCCTTCCTCTCAGTCTGTTAGGCTTAGCCGGCAGCCCTGAGGGTAACGATGGCCGAATTGGACATCGGAAAGCACTGCCAGGTGGAGCACTGCCGGCAGAAAGGTAATCCGGGAGGGTTTTAGGAAGCAGCGGACGCCGCCTCCCGGGGACCTAGAGTAGTTGGAAAGGAAGGGAAAGGAGGGGGGTCAGAGATCTGGGAAAGCCGAGCTGAATGGATGGGGCAAAGCCTATAGAGAGGGTGGGGCCTGGCCCGAGGGGAGGGGCTAAGCTGTCTTGTGGGCGGGGCCTCACAGGAGGGTGGGGCTAGGCAGTCTTGTGGGCGGGGGCTCGCCGGAGGGCCGGGGATACGCCGCGTGGGCTCCTGAGCCTCCGGATGTCTGGGGACGCAGTGCTTCTTAGAAGCCTGCAAGTTTCTTGCAGCCGTGTCAGACCAAACTGCCCTTGTCCATACCAGTAGGCGTTTCTCTGTGTAAGCTGACTGCTGGGTTACATTAATTGTTCCCATCTTTCCTTCAGTCAGGCAGGCGAGGGCACTGTGGTGTAGCGAAAAGAACAGTGGCCTGCAATTCACTGTTTTTGGGTTACAGCTCTAGTTGTGACACTAATTAGCTGTTTGAACGTGGACACTTCCTCCTCCTCTCTGGGCTTCAGTTTCCACATCTGTAAAATTAAAGGTGAGACTGGTGAGGGTACTTAACCGTTTTTGTGTCATGAACCCCTTTGACAGCCTGGTGAAGCCTATGGACTTCTCAGAATCATGATTTAAGTGCATAGAACAAAATATATAAGATTACAAAGGAAGCCAATTATATTGAAAGAACCCTGGGCTAGATGATCTCTGGGGTCTTTTAAGTCACATTCTTTATGTCTGTGCATGGGACCTGCTGAACATTTGTAGTAGGGCTAGCCTTATGAGACGGTGAGTCAGTAGCATGTGATGAGCAATTTGAATAACAAATGCTCACGTTTTTATAGTTTGTTTATCTATTTTAATAATATCTAGTGTTTCCGTAGTTACTGCTTTAAAGTTAAAAAGCACTTTACAAATATAATTTCTGTTTATCCTCGCAGCAATCCTGGGAGGTAGGTGCTGTTAATCCCCAATTTTACAGATGAGGAAATTGAGGCAGACAAGGTTACATAGCTTTATCCCTTCAGAATTACTGTGGCTCAGGCAGCTTTTGGTCTAGAAGAGATGGTGACCTAAATATACTACATATTAAAATTTTGTCATCACAACACTGCCTGCTGAGGGATAGATTTCCTTGTTAGGGGAAGATTCACAACTGACTCATGCTGAATTCTTCATATTGCATTATAATGAAGATGTCTGTTAATGAAAAACTTTGTCCCAGGAATCAGATCTTGTATTGATCCCAAATGATGGAAGCATCAAAGTTACAAAGAGCTACATGCATTTTTGCCAGCCACAATCCTACTCTGATCTTCTTCAGGGAAATCACACTTATCAAGTGCTAGGAGCCACATTTTTTTCCCCCACTTATAGGCATTTCTGTATCTCTTATTCTATAGGTTAATGTAAAATCAAATCTATAGGTTAATCTAAAATTAACACTGTTTTTGAGTATCCCTTTTCCTGTCTTTCCTAGGAGATTCTTCAAAGAATCACAGGATCTTAAAAATGGAAGGGACCTTAGAGATCACCTGGCCCAACCCCCTCATTTTCCAGGTGAGGAATCTGAAGCCTGGAGAAGTTAAGTACCTAAGGTACCACAGCTAGTAAGTGGGAGAGTTGGGACCATAAGTCCAGATCTTGGGAATTTACTGCTCTTTCCACTGTAGCATAGGACCTTTATACCATTTCACCCTATTTGATATAACAATAACTATTAGCCACCAACTATAGACGACAATAGCATTCAAATCCAATCTACTTCTGCTCCCATTCCCATTTTACATAAAAGAACTATTTCAGCTAAGTGAGTTTTGATTTTATTGTGCTTGTTATGGGGCAGTTCTCTGAAATAGACTGATTTGGCTGGGGATATGTGAATATTGATTTCTTGACTGTATGGTAATCAGTTAGTACTCTACTTTCTAATCAGTTAGCTACTGTAGGATGAGGCCTTTTTTTTTTTGGTAAATTTTTTTATTTTGCACTTACATACAAAATGAGAAAAGAAAAAAAAACATTGCCATGTACCCAGCAGACCATTAGAGAGGATTAAATATAAAGCAATAAATTTCCATTTCAAGAAGACCTACGTAATAAATACTACATATTGTTTTCAAAGCTGCCCAGCTTTGCTTCCTTGTTGGTTTTCTTTTGTTCTCTGCTGTGCATTTATTACTTTAGTTTTTTTCCCCTTCCTCCTCCCCCCACCCTAAAGAAGGCTACAATTAAATGTGGATATATATACATAGATATCTAGAAGCATAGACATATAGGCACATATACACTCATACACATATATGTAAGACTATACTATGCTTATTTCCCCCTATCATATGTTTCTCTGAAGGTGGATAGCATCTTCCTTCATAAGTCTTCCTTCAAGTCTTTCTGTGTTTTCAACTAGTTCATCATTTCCTACACCACATTTCTGGATTCAAGCATCATCTTTGTTCATAGGATCTTTGAGGTTAATTTAGATATTTATAATAACTCGGTTGCTCAAAGTTGTTCTTAAAGCAATACTGCTGTTACTGTATACAGTGTTATCTTGGTTCTGCTCATTTTGCTATTCATTGTTTTGTAGAGGTCCTTCCGTGCTTTTCTAAAATTATTGAGGTCATCATTTCTTAAGGCATGAACATATATCACAGTTTGTTTAGCCATTCCCCAATTGACAGGCATCCCTGAAGTTTCCAGTTGTCTGCCACCATGAAGAGAGGGGCTATAAATATTTTCGAACGTGTAGGTTCTTTTCCATTTCCCTTAATATTCTTGGGAAACAGACGTGACAGTGGTATGGCTGGGTCATAGGGTGTAGGCAGTTTAATGACTCTTTGGGCATAATTCCAAATTTCTCTCCAAAATGGTTAGATCAGCTCACAGATCCACCAACAATGAATTAAGATCCCAGTTTTTCCACATCCCTTCCAACATTTCTCCCTTTCCTCTTTTGTCATTTTAGCTAGTCTGATAGGTATAATATGATATCTCAAGGTTGTTTTAATTTGCATTTCTCTAATCAATAATGATTTAGAGCATTTTTTCATATGACTGTAAATTATTTGGTTCTTCATTGGAAAACCGCCATTTTACACCTCACAACACTATCACTTGTTTGTTCATAAGTTGTTCACCTATCCACAAATCTGTTAGGAATATGTTCCATGTTCTTCAGATTTTCTTGTAATATCTTTTTATATCTAGGTCATGTGTCCATTTTGACCTTATCTTGGTAAATGGTGTAAGTGCCCAATTTGTGTCATACCAGTTTTCAGCTTTTCCAACAATTTTTACCAAATAATGAATTCTTATACCAAGTCTTTGTATAAGTAAAGCTTTAAGTCTTTACTCTTGTCGAACACTGGGTAACTATATCTGTTTGCTGCTGCAGATCATATGTCTGCTGCGTTCCACTAGTTTAACTTTTCTGTTTTGTAGTACCAAATAGTTTTTTTTATTTTTAAAATTTTTTTTTGTTTTTTCCACATGCTTTTGAGTTGAAAAATTTTCTCCCTTTTCCTCCCCCCCACCCTCCCCAAGACAGCACACAATTTGATATAGGCTTTACATTTACAGACCCATTAAACATATTTTCACATCAGTGAAGTTGTAAGTACAAATTAAAACCAATAGGAGGAACCATCAGAAAGATGAAACAAAACTCAACAGAAGGTAAAAATAAGTGACAGCGATTCAACTTCCATAGTTCTTTCTTTGGATGTAGACAGTATTTTCCATCCCGAGGCCTCTGGAGATGTCTTAGATCCTCGTAATGCTGAGAAGGGTTCAGTTTAACAATCTTAGTCATTGCATAACGTGGCTGTTATTGTGTACAAAGTCCTCTTGGATCTGCTCACTTCACTCAGCATCAGACCATATAAGTCTTTCCGGGTTTTTCTGAAGTCAGCCTGTTCATCATTTCTTATAGCACAATAGTATTCCATTACATTCATATACCACAACTTGCTCAGCCATTCACCAGTTGATGGGCATCCTCTCAATTTCTTTGCCACCACGAAAAGAGCTGCTATGAATATTTTTGTACATGTGGGTCCTTTTCCCATTTGTTTGATCTCTTTGGGATATAGCCCTAGAAGTGCTATTGCTGGATCAAAGTGTATGCACATTTTTGTAGCCCTTTGGGCATAGTTCCAAATTGTTCTCCAAAACGGTTGGATCATTTCACAACTCCACCAACAATGTATTAGCGTTCCAATTTTCCCACATCCTCTCCAACATTTCTTATTTTCCTGTTTTGTCATGTTGACCAATCTGATAGATGTGATGTGAGTACCATATAGTTTTGATAATTACTGCCTTATAATGTAGTTTAAGATCCAATACTGCTTAACCTCCCTCCTTTACATTTTTTCCATTAGTTCCTTTGATATTCTTGACCTTTTGCTTTTCCAAATAAATTGTGTTATTTTATCTAGCTCCTTAAAATAATTTTTTTGGTAATTGGGATGGCATTGAATTTATAGATTAATTTTGGTAAAATTGTCATTTTTATTATATTGGCCCTGCTTACCTGGATGAGATCCTTTCAAATAAGTTTTAGCTTATTTTACTTCTCAAATGAAGTACAGCAGTACATTCCTTTTGTGACTACATCTGGAGTTATTTGCCCATACTCTCAAATATGAGGCACAGGAAAGGTATTTAAAGGAATTACATGTTGTAGACAGAGAAGTATGTCATTAATTGTCTATTGCATAATCTTAGAATAGACACTTACCTTGTATGGAGTTACAAAAAGTCATCTCATGTCTCAGTTCATAAAGTAGTTCTCAACATCAAGGAAACATGTGTAATATCTATCCAAGATATATGTTCAAGAATCAACTCTATAAACTACCCATTCAGCTCCATATCATTATCGGACAATAGGCAGAGAAGCATGGTTACTTCTGGTAGCTGCCATCCCCCTTACTAGGAGCTGATGTGCGATCAAAGTTTCCATTGTTTCACTTGCCAGCCTCTGCGCTACTGAGGGACAGAATCTGAAGGCCTTCTTGCTCAGAACCTACAACATCACCCAGCAGCTGTACCAACTAACTTCAGCCATCGCAGTAGTGTCACAGCCTCCTCTTACCACTTCTAGCTCAGGCAGGTATAGGCTTTGTTGACTCTGAGGTTCTTGTCCTTTACCTGCTTCTCTCTGGACTCTCTGTCATTGTACTTGCTGAGAAGGTGAGGTTTCTGCTCTGGGCCTGATGAACTGTATTTGGAGGCTTATTTGCCCTATGACCTACTGCCTGGTTTGCAGGCTGATCTTGCCTTCACAAGGCAAGTCAGGGGCATCTCTTGTCCTTATCCCAGGTCCCAGGGTCACTGCAGTTCCTTCTTCACTCTTTTTAAGGAGAGAACAGATGGATGTCAGCTTCAAATATCATAGATATTTCATGGATATGGGAGCCCTGGTCAACTGGCACTGCCCTTGTCCTATGACTAGTAAATTTTTACTTCTTCCTCTTCCATTAGCCCCTGTTTTTCAGAGTCACCATTGGCCAAGTTAAGCCCTACTCTTCCCTACCTCTCCAGTCTTTCATCTCCAGATCTACCTTTAATGTTCTTCACTCTCCTTACATTGTGCCCTTTGGAACATCTGTTAATTACAGTATTTCCTTCATCCTGACCTCTTCTTTTCACGTACTTTCCATCTGCTTGCACTCATAGAAAACTGGCTCCCTCTAGAGGACACTGCATTGCTGACCTATCCTTACCATATATTTTTTCCTTTCCCCCACAGTGAGCCAGAAATAGGTATACTCCCTATTCCTCATTGCCATTTCCAGACTCTTTCCCTACTGCCATCACTTAGCAGCATTTCATTTGAGATTTACTCCATCTGTCTCTATGATACTATCACTTTCATTGCTGTAGTCATCTAAAGGCCTTCAAATTTTTCTCTTTTTTTAAATTGCATGCCATAGCTTTTCATTTTCATTTTTATAATTTGTCATTAATTTTGATCTTTGCTCTAGCAAGTTGATGCTGTTTCTCCCTGATACTTCATTCAGAAATTACTACCAACCTTAGAAATCAGTTCACTGACAAAATGTTATTTGGTGTGTACTTCCTTCATGAAAGTATTAATGAAACAAGTCAATAGGCATTTATTAAGCACATACTATGTTTAGACACTGTACTAGGTGATAGGCATACAGAGAAAGGGGGAAAAAAAGTCCGGGCACTCAAAAAGCTCACAGTCTCATGGGGGAGACTACATGAAAACAACTTTATGTCCAAACACTTCACATAGGATAATTTGGAGATCATTTCAGAGGAAAGACCCTAAGGGTATGAAAGACTGGGAAAGGCTTCTTGCAGAAGATAGCACTTTAGCAGAGACTTCTAGGAAGCTGGAAGAGGGAGATGAGGGAGAGACTTTGAAGCATGAGGCTTCTGGGTGGGCTCCAAGCTCTTGGCCTCTTGTTTGTTAGTTTTGTGCTACTTAATAAAATGTGTTTGATGAGACTTTTCTGTAATTTTGTCAAGAATAGAAGTTAAGAATCCATACCTGTAGTTGGCAGACTCCATTTTCATCACTTTTTCTCTTATTCTCTAGTCTTGCAAAGATTACTGTTTGTTTCAGTCCAAAGGCCATTCCCCTTGGCAGAGAAAAAAAAAAAGAAACAAAATAAGTAAGGTAGTTCATCCTTGTCTCTAGGGTGCTAATCATCTCAGGCTACAAAACAGCAGTCCTAGCGCTTCACTAGTTCTCTTTGCCCTAATGTAAGCTCAAAACAAAACAAAAAAGCTTTTTCATTATCCTTAGCAGTTCTCAACCTCCTTTCAGCATTCCTAGTTCCATTCTTACTATTTCTTTCTTACTGTTCTTTCTGTGCCATACTTTTGTATTCATTCTCTTACCTGCCCTTGCTTTAACCTTCTCGGGGTTTTCCCCCCCTGTACATCTTAGGTTTATCATAACAGCATGTCTATAAAGTAGGTAAGAGACCCATAATTATTATTTCCATGTTATAACTGAGGCTTGTAGTATTTTGTTGAATTATCAGGAAAAGCAGATCAGGAAATAAAACTTAGAACTTCTGACTTCTCATTCCTCCTTCTTAGCACAAAAGATACTTAATTCCTAATAGTTCCAATTCCATTATCCTCCTCTCACAAATTTCGTATTATTGTGTCATATGTAGCATGGTGTACCTGCAAAGAAATAGTACTTTTTTTAAAGTTTTCTTAAGAAAACAAAATAAAATCACATTCTGAGAAGTAAATATTTTTTTCTTTTAATTTAGATTTTCTTCCATTTGTGTGTGATGGCTGTTCAGGAATATTCTGGTAAGGCATATTAACAGTATCTTATATAAAATGGAGGATTAGCGTCAAGGTCTTTACCAGGCTATTTATTGCTGAGAAAATGGAGACCATTCTTGTTTTATATGCTAGTTATACTCTATGGCTGTTATTTAAGATTTATTATAATATTCTCTGGGATTAAACTTACTCATGGACATGTACCACATTACAGTCCTTTGTCCTCCACATATGAGGTTCTTTAAACACTGGTTAGATGTGTGAATTTCAGTCACACAGAGAGTCAATGAATAGTCCTTACCTTGGACAAGACTAATGGCCAAAGATGGGCAGTTTGTGATGATTGCTTTTTAAGATCAGAGCAAAACCTGGGCTAATCTCTCAAGTGGTATCAAGAACATATTTTAGAGTACAAAGCAAAACTAGAGAATTGACTGAATATTTTGGAAAATATTTTCCAGCTAAGTTATTACATTATATAGTATTTAATAGATTGAGTAAAACCTTGAAAGAATTTAGTTTTCAGGAAATTCAGAAAGGATTATTATGGGACAAAAAACAGTTTGGTGGACAAACTGTTTCCTAATGAAATTCCTTAATCTGAGATTGGCATCAATATAGAAGTAGCATAGTGTGGTGAATGCTTTAGTAACTAATGAGTTTGATATTTTTCTATTAGTGCTATTTGAGAAATGGCGTTAGAAGCTTTCTAATATTTGTGAACCATTATTAACTGTTGAGTGGTGTGAATGTTCATTTACCCCCATGCAATTTTCTGTCTGTGACTATATTCTAGATTTTTGGATCAAAGTATTAAAAAGTAAAGGCAGAATATGTGCTAGTGCAGGCCTGCACAACCTATGGCCTGCCAAAGAATTTTGAGAGTAGAGGATCCTCTACATTTCTTGCAGACTACCCAAAATCCTTTGGTGGGCCGCAGGATGTGCAGGCCTGTACTAGTGGAATCAATACAGGAGGATATTTATAAAGTTCAGACCCCCAAAGTAGAATATCATAAAGCATACAAATGAAAAGTGATATTCAATGGTCAATTTTTGCTGTTAATATTAAGAAGAAAGGCTCGATGCTGACTTTGAAGCCAGGAGGACCTAGGTTCAAATCCTGCCTCTGATATACTGGCTTTCTGACCCTGGGCAAGCCACTTAACCGCTTAGTGCTCTCAACAATTCTAAAAAACAAGAAGTTGCAGAGAAAGTACTGGCCTGCATTGGTCAGAGAGTATTCCACTTACTAGTGAAATCATAGCCAGTCCCTAAGCCTGTTATTAAGATAGCATTGTTCTTAATTTAAATATACATATATAACTAGTACAGGAGAATTGGACCTAGTGAATTGACATTTAATTTTGTAATAGAGAATATATTTCATGTAGAAAGTTATTATAAATTATACGACATTAATTATATAATCATCATAGCCCCGAGAATACTATGCAGAGGTATCAAACTTGGGGCCCAAACCAAATTAAAATAGAATTGAGAAATGTTTAACAAAATAAATAAAAATACAATGCAACATAAATAATATTAACGTGTGGTTTTCTAAGTCATCATGCAGCTGTAGGGACCTGTTTCTGTTTTGAGTTGTACATGATAAAAGAGCAAAATAAATGCAAAATATCTAAAAATTATATTGTATTACATGGTTAAAATTTTGTTTTATTTTCTGATTTTGTTTTGTTTTTGGTTTCAGTCTTCAGCACAGAAGCAGGGAGTCTCATGGCTGTTCTGAGGTATGAATAAGCATGTTAACTATTTTCCCATAATTCATTTAAAAACATTCTTCTGTATTTCTATTTGAGGTATGATTATCACTTTCTCTTTTATAAAGAAGCTGAATAATAGGAATTAGGAATTGTAGTTTCTTTGTTTCTGTAATACCAGATAAAATTTAATCAGATAAAGAAATATGTGAAAACCGGTTTTCTCTCCCCTTTATTTTTTTTCCATTGAGGTTCATTTTATGAAAAGTTAATCTTTTATATGTTGGCATGTATAGTGTTTTGTGATCATGCTTTTTGTGCATATATAAATTAAAGAGTCCAACTTTGAAATTATAGGATTTCAGAGTTGGAAAAAACCTTAAATATCATCTAGTGAAACCCATCATTTTCAGATTAGGAAACTGAGGCTTAGAGAGGTGACTTAACTTAGCCAAGGACACATAGTGGCAGAGTTAATCAGAACCCAGGTCATCAGACCTTCCTCAGGACTTGTTACACTATGCCATGCTGCATGTCTGCTTAAAGATTTGGACCCTATGTTTATCTTTGATGAGATCCACAATAAAGCAAGTGGCTTCCCCAATAGCAGGGAAAAAGTGCAAGTAAGTAAATTTTTAGCAACTGATTTATTCTCTATATAGCACAGTATGAAAACAGATAAACAATGAGAAATAAAGTTTTTGATCTGGATATTCTATGTGTATATATGCCACATGAGTACAGATTTTAGAAACATCCAGATATTTGATTAAGTTTTTCACTGTATGATCTATCTCTCAACAGATATTTATTGAAGGATTCTATGTACAAAACAACATGTTAGATATTCAATACCAAAAAGTCTAAGGTTTAGTTCTTACCCCAAGAAATTTATGGTCTAGTGCAGAAAAAAAGACAATTAAGTTTTCTTTCATAAGAGGAAAGAGCAACAGTGCAGGCAGATGAATGCTTCTTCTATGGACTCTAGGACCTGAGACAGGATTCTTTAAGGCCCATTGAAGGAAAAGCTGAACAGGATGTCCAGAGCGAGGTGACTGAGTTAGTACATACTATATACATACCAAAAAAAAAACAACTTAAGAAAACAAAAAACATTTTCATAAGTGCTAAGTGAATAGTACAGTCAATGAAAGCCTGTATGAGTAAGTGCTTTTCTTTGAACGTGCAGTATTATGTAGACAATGAAGGCACAGCAATATGTGTCGCATACAGACTTTCTTCATTTATGCAAGTGAAGGATAGATAGGTCAAAATTTGACCCTTAAAAGTTTAGGGGTAGCTCTTTATATGGAATATAAGCATTAGCTCACTTAGTGCAGTCTTGAAGTTTTTCATAGTTATGCTATTCATTTAGGATTTTAAAACATTTAAAGAATAAAAATAAAACATCACTTTCATTAAATACATTTAAAGTATTTACTGTGGAAAGAATAAAATTCATATATGTTTCCTAAGCAGCTTATAAATCAGTCCATGTTGATCTATTTTCTCTCATACAATTTAATATCTATAACTATATCCTGACTGTGAATCTAAGTATTAAGTAATGAAGGAAGAACATATGTTGGTAGAACCACCAACATGGGAGGTTGTTAAGAAATCCAGAGCCCAAGGTGGAATATTGAAATGGAAAAAGGCTCTTTGGTTACCCATTTTTTCCAGCCAGTGTTTTCCTAAATCCATTTTAGAGACTTGGCCAATGCTTACTTTTGAGCCAGAGCAAGGGGAGCTTCTTGTGTCCTATCACCCCTTTTGTTTTTATGAAGGGATAGCTTAATATATGGAATATTGTATTAAGTTCATTATACAATGAAATAGAGTTGCATAGTGGTCTTTAATTTTTTTATGTTTCATAGAATTGTGTATTTTTTTAATTATATAATTTTTAAAAATTAGATACTGGGTTTAATCTGGGTGGAGGAGAACAAAACCAGTATAGCTAATCTCTTATTTGGTGTCCATATTTTAGAAATTGACCATAGTCTTTGAATCTCTTGAGAGTATCCCCCAATGAGTGAGTATATCATGAAACAAAAGAAGAAGGTAATATAAAATTGAGCTTAATATTTCCTTTTTTTTTTTGAAGCAGTCAAGATTAAGTGACTTGCCCAGAGTCACACAGCTACTTAAGTGTCAAGTGTCTGAGGCCAGATTTGATTAATATTTCCTTTAGCTTCATTATATATATATACACATATATAATAGCTGGTTATTGTATTCTTATTTTAGTCTTTGTTGAGAGAACTTGAAAAAGGTTAGTGTCCCAAGCTAGTTAGTCCTTCATTACACAAACATGTGTGTTTCTCTTCAAAAACATTCTCCTGGTAGCTTGAATTCAGTCGAAGTTTATGGGTGTATAGTAATTTAACTTATTAGATCTAAAAAGATATGGCATCTACCTTCCAAGAACTAAAATCTAAAATGTGAAATAAGCATACAAATATGGTTCTGACAAAAAGATGACATTTATGAAAATAATAAAGTCATTGCTATAATTAATGCAATACTAAAATTAATTCTTCAAAATAAAGTCTAATTGCCTATCATTGTGAAATTATAAGGACATTTTTTCTTCTCTGTATTTCTAGGTGAACATAAAAAGTGAGAGATTGAAGACTGATGACCATTCATCTTACCCATGTTCATACAAGGATTGCAATGGAAGAGAGCTTGTGCCAGTGTTATGTCCCTTCTGTGAGAAGAATTTTTGCCTGAGGTGATGATTGGACCATTCAAAGATTGTAGGTATTTTTAAATTGTGTGCAAGTTTGTGAACCAACCAGTGTCTACTCTTCTGTACTGTGTAGACACCGGCACCAGTCAGACCACGAATGTGAAAAACTGGAAGTTCCTCAGTCTCGGATGGCTGCCACACAGCAGCTTGTTAAAGATATCATAGGTAAGGTCTCAAGTATTTTGTTATACTGATTTCTTTTACTTTTTGCTATTTCCAAAGCTCTTGCCTGCTTCATGAACCTGCTCACAGTTAGTCAAAAAACCTTTGTTAAGCAGTGGCAGAAAAGCAAAAAACACAGTCCATACTGTCATGGAGCTAACATTCTAGTGTGGAAGACAGCATGCAAATAACTTATGTGTAAACAGGATATACATTGTAAGTGGAAGATGATTTCAAGAGGAGGAGGAGGACTGGGAACGGCCTGCCACTGAAGGTGGAATTTAAGCTAAGTCATGAACAGAGGAATCCAGGAGGGAGAGAATTCTAGGCATAAGGGAAGCCAGTGAAAATGCACTGAGTTGGGAAATAAAATGTCTTGTTTGAGGAACAGCAAGGAGACTGGGGGGGGGGGAGTGGTAAGGAGGGTATAGGGAGACTAGAAAGTAGGGACTAGGTCATGAAAGGCTTTACAAGCCAGAGGAGTTTATATCTGATCCTGGAAGTATTAGGGAGCCACTGGCGTTTACTGACTAGGTGATGCACACCTGTGCTTGCCAGCTAGTAGTCCAAATGTGAAGTGATAAGGGCTTACATCAGGGTAACAGCTGTGTCATAGGAGAGAAGGGGGTATATATAAGAAATTTGACTCAAATGCCACCTTCTGCCTGAGCCCTTTCTTGGTCACTCCAGTTGCTAATGCCTTTCCACTGAGGTTACCTTGTATCTGTTTTATATATACCTATATATATGCATGACTCCCCCTATAATTGGAGCTCCCTGTTAACCTTTCTTCTTTGTGTCCCCATCAGCTAGTAAAATACCTGGCCCTTAGTGGATGCTTAATTAAACCACCACCAGGCAGTTCCTAGAAGTGGGACTTCTGATTAATTCAGAATTGCATGGAATTATCCTTTTTAATTTATCCTCCATGAGCTGCTTAGTTTGGTTGAAATTTCACAGGCTCAGAATTTGAGAGTTGGAGGGATCTCAGTGTATTAGATGGCTGCAGAAGCTCTTTCTGCTCTCAATGTTACATGGGGCTAGAGATGGTATTGTGGAAAGAGATTGGAATTAGAATCAGAAAACCAGGCTTCAAATCCCAGCTCTGCCTCTTAGGTCCTGTGTGACCTTGGATAAGTCATTTAGCCTTCAGGAGCCTCATTTCTTCATCTCTAAAATGAGAGGGTTGGACTAGATGACCTCTGAGGTTCCTCCCCGTCCTAAATATGTAATCCTGTCATCTGTAGTTTGGGATGCCATTCTGAAGACCATACAACCCTGACTAAGCAGATGCTTTCAGAAATGGAAGTAGGTGAGACGTATGGATGAGTCAATATAATCTATCCTTGAGGAGGAGGAGGAGGATAATTATCATGATAATAGCTAGCATTTACATTGTGCTGTAAGAGTTGCAGAGCACTTTACAAATATTACCTCATTTTTTCCTCACAATAATCTTGGGAGGTAAGTGCTATTATATTCATTTTACAGATGAAGAAACTGAGACGCAGTGAGGTTAAGTGACTTACCCAGGGTTACACAGGCACATTACGGGCAGCTTGGTGGTGCAGTGGATAGAGCACCAGCCCTGGAGTCAGGAGGACCTGAGTTCAAAGATGGCCTCAGACACTTGACACTTACTAGCTGTGACCCTGAGCAAGTCACTTAACTCCATTGCCTAGCAAAAAAAAAAAAGAAAGAAAAAAGGCACATTAGAGTTCATCCAGCCACCTGGTTTTATGGGTAAGGAAACTGAGAATCAAAGAGATTAGGTGATTTTCCCAAAAGCACATGGGCAGTAAATTAGCCAAGTCAGAATTTGAACTAAGTTCCTTGGACTCCGGATCCACTGGACTTTCCACTATAGGAGAATATGCAGAAATGTAAAGTCTCTGCTTTGTGCAAACTCTCCAGTTATTCCTGGGCAAGATGAAGAAGCCTTGAATAGAAATTTTCCCCAGTGGTAGGTTATGCCCTCACCACCTTGCCTAGTAAGTACAGAATCTTTAGTTTTTAAAAAGGTATTATCAACTGTATATGTGGATGATTCTTAGTGTTTTAATTTATCATTAGGCACTTGTAATAAAACTAGAAAATATAGCCTATAATAATTTCATCAGGTGCTAATTTTCTTATTTTTCAGATTCTAAGAAAGGAACAGCAATAAGCAAAGGTCGCAGAGGTGCAAAGAACAGTGAAACTGCAGCAAAAGTTGCACTGATGAAATTAAAAATGCATGCTGATGGAGATAAATCTTTGCCACAGGTTGGGCTTAGATGATTTAAAAATGTGTTACTCCATTATAGTGAATCTTATAATCTTATTAAACTTCAAAGCAGTGTGTGTGTGTGTGTGTGTGTGTGTGTGTGTGTGTGTGTGTGTGTGCACACGCATGTGTACTTGCATGCACACACCCAGTGAAGGGGGAAGGTGTCCATATTTAACCCAATTGGAATTTTATTTTATCTGTTGTTTAAACTAAATGGTCCTATTTCCAGGACTTGAACCTTTTTGTTAAATAGATTTTTGTTATAGCAGTAATTAACTTTACATATAGACATTTCTTGAATGTAAGGTGTGTTGTTTTTTTTTTTTAATCTAAGTTGACTTGTCTAGCAGTATGTTTAGAAGTCATGAGACCTGGGTTCTATTTGTAATACCTACTGCAAATGAGGGAGGCAGCAGGGGTGTATAGCCTGGGAATCATGAGTTTGAATCTGAGTTTTGCTCTTAATTCTCTCTGTATTTAGTCAACTCATGAAACTTCTCTGGATTTCAGTTACCCCGCTAAAAAAAGTAGGGGTTGTATTTTGACTTCTGAAGTTCTGTTCAGCACTAATATTTTACGACTCTCTTTTCTTTTCCTTAGGGTGTAACAAGTACATTCCCACAGAGCTGGTTACAAAATGAATTTCTATGAAGTGAACCTTACTTATTCTCTGATGTGCTTTATAGAATCAAAGATGAGCTCTAACATAAATTATTATTCATTGAATGAAATGAAAGTTGTTGGCTTACGTTTTCTTTTTTGTTTTTGCTTTTGCTCTGAAAAGAGAGATGTCAGCTTTTTTCAGAGTAACTTTAATAAGTCATTAAAAGTTTAGAGGGAAGAGCACCTTCACTTCCATTATTTCTCTGCCGAATGCTTGATAATCAGTAACAAAAACCCCTGATACATTAATTATCACCTTCCCTTTATCATTTATGTTGGTGTTCACCAAGTTGTCTCTTTTTTTCCCCCTCTTCTTGGCTCCAAACCACTATTTGCCCCGTATTTAAAAAGTAGCATTCTCTTGGCCAAGGGAAATGCATAATGTTTTGGGGTTTTTTTACTTTTTTTTTTGCAGACAGAAAGAATTTACTTTCAAGTATTCTTACCTAAGGGGAGCAAGGAGAAAAGCAAACCCATGTTCTTTTGTTGTAAATGGAGTATTGGCAAGGTGGTGGATTTTGCAGCTTCATTAGCCAGCCTTAAAAATGAGAACAACAAAGCAACAGCCAAGGTACTATTAACTAATTTGTAGTAATCGTCATGTGAAAATTGGTAGATTACTTTCTTCAAAAGTGCAATTGTTAATTGTAGTCCTATTGTCTGTGTTACAGAAATTAAGATTGTGTAACATTGCAACAGGAGAAGCCTTACCTTCAGATCAATCTTTGGATACGTGGATTACTAAGGAAGATTGCCCTTTATATAATGGTGGAAATATTATCTTAGAATATCTTAATAACGAAGAACAGTTTTTGGAAAATGCTGACTCTTACTTAAAGTAGCCATTCAAGGACAACCCACAGTTATTAGGAAAACAATACATTTTAAAATTAATTTATTAAATATTAACACCATGTACTCTTCAAAGAAAGGTGCTTTTAAGCTTAGTTCCACTATGACAGTGATACATTATTTAATGAGTTTTTATATAAACTTTTTTGTAATTATGCTAAAAATGATGATAAGAGTAATTTTGGGCTGAAAACCAAATATCAATAAATTCAAGTAAAGCATTACTATATACATGTACACACAGAACATAGGTCTCTTCCCATGATGGATAGTAATTCTTTGTCTAAAACTTCATCCCAAGAAATGTAATAAAAGAGGAAACACAGAAATAAAAATAACTGTTTTAAAGTTTGCAGAGTGCTTTCATTTGAGCCTTATAAAATAGCCCTGTTGGATCAGGCTGGGGGTGGTAGGAATGCCAAATGTGTGTGTGGGGGGAAGATGTTCCTCTACAAAATCATCATTAAATATTAAAGTTCAATGTCAGAAACTGTGCATGACAATAGTCTTGAGTGAAGGAAGGGTATTGTGGAATAAGGTTAAAGGATGGGAAGAGAGGAGAAGGAAATTCCAATTTAATATTCCAAGAGGAGAGAGGGGCAGAAGGGAAAGATATAGAGGAAGAGAACCTTCCAGTATTTAAATCTCTGCTAAGATAGAGGTGGGGTTTCAGAAGATTTGTAGCAAGATCTTAATAGTTTTTGTTAAATTCAGTGTAAAAAGATTGATTTAATAAAAAATCTGTTTCAAAAAGCTAGGCATTTAGTCAGAACACTAGTATGAAAATGTGTCCACTTTAACCCTCGAGTACTTGCTCTCTCTGCAACCTTGGGCAAATTAATTTATTCACTATCATCCAGACATTCATTTTTCTCATCTATAAAATGGGGTTGCCCTCTGCCCCATGACATTTTAAGGATCCAGTGAAATAGTGGAAAGAGTGTTTTGGTTTTATTTTTACCACAGAATGTTGCATAAACTGAGGCTTCATGGTATATGGGAAGGTGAATCAGGAAGCTCAGATGCCCACTACCAAGCCATGTGGTCTTAGAAGATTATTTACTTGTTCTAGGTCTTACTTTACTGATTTTTAGAATGAGGAAGTTAAACCAAGTAGTTCCTTAATCCTGCTTCCAGCTCTAGCACTTTAAAGGCAACATTAGCACTATGTATTGCAGCTTTAGTAAAATGCCCAGGTGGAGATGGGGTCATCTTGTTAGGGAGGAGGAAGATTTATCATTGTATTTCCCGAACTCTTTGCAACTAAGTCATCCTGAAGGATTTAATGAGATGTATGTTGGGGCTGACAGTCAAACACAGAATCTCAGAGGGACCTCAGTTTGTCTCATCCAATCCACAATTGAATAGAAATCCTTTCGACAATATCAGTTCAGTTCAGCAAACATTTAAGTCCTTACATTGTGCCAAGAACAGTGCTTAGTGCTGGGGCAACAAATACAAAAACGAAACAGTTCCAGTCCTTTTAAGGATCTTGGAAGGCAGGTTTTTTTTTTTTTGGAAAATCAGATATAGCAACCCAGGGTTTTTACACTGGTTACTGACTCAGCTTTGATGCTCACCTCTTCCTTAGCACCTTCAGTTGCCCCTCCCCTCTGACTGGCGGGCAGAGCAATGAACTCCTCTCAAGACCTCCCTTTATAAAGGGCTCAATCTTTCCAGGTAGCATCGTTTTCCATCAGCTGCTCTGCTTGGTTTCAACTCTGTGAACATCATATCCTGGCACTAGGTACCTGCTCCTGGTCCCCTTCCTCTCCCCTCTGTTTAGCTCCTTTTTGTGTGTTGTCTTCCCCCATTAGATTGTAAAATGCTGGAGTTCAGGGACCGTCTTATTTGTATACCCAGCACTTAGGACAATGCTTGGCATATAAAGCAGTCCCTTAATAAATGTATATTAACTGTTGATTATTGAGTTCTCGGTCACTAGTGGTATTCAAATGTAGGTTGAATGCCCAGTTGTCAGAAGTGCTGCAGATAGAATTAATGCTTTCAGTAGAGATTGAACCAGACCACTTTGCCCAAGATCACAGAGCTGGTTTGTAACAGAGCTCAGAGTACATCAGACAACAAAGTATCCTAGAAAATGAAGTTCTAGGGGTGGAAGTCACGTCCAGAGGCCAATAGATCCTTGGGAGTTCTCTCCAAAGTTTCAGCCAGTGAACCCAGGGACCAGTTATCTGTGTTTCTGAGTCGAGATCACGGAACAGGTAGTGACTACTGTAATAACAATAATGGTAATGATAATAGGTAAGATTTATATAGTGCTTTTTAAGGTTTGCAAAGTGCATTACACACAGTACCTCTTGATTCTTAAAACATCCTTGTAGTCTCCTACTGAGTAACATCAACTAACTATACCTTCTCACTGGAAGGTAGGTTCCCACTGCCCATTTGTCTGCCCCAGCTGCCTTGTTTACCTTTTTCCACCCTCTTGTGTTGCTAATTCCCTTTCTGTTTACACCTGTTTTTCTTTCTTTGTTCTTGCTCCTGTCCTACAAGCCTCATTGTTTCTGGTTGCAGATAGAAATCTAAACTTACTCTTCCTACTCAAATTTTAGGTCCCTTTTTAATTGTGTAGATTGTAATGCCTGCAAATGGCTATCCAAACAGAGTTCCAAAGAGAGTTGTGAAAACATTGTAGCTTTGGTCTAAGGATAGATTTTTTTTTTGCTTGATGTCTTGAAAAAGTAGACTTAATTTCTTTGCAAGAGAGAAAGAGTTACAGTTAAAAGATCCTGGCCACTAGTGTTTAAAGTGGAGACAGCTATGAAGCAGTTTCTTATTTACCTACATTTGTGAGGATCTGCTATGTGTCCAATACTACTATACATACTGGGTGCATCAGCAGATACTAGTGGACAAACTATTGTACCATATTTCACCATACAATCCCAGATTTTGTGCCAAATTTTTTTTTGCAAAAAAAGAGTACAACCATTATGTGAAGCTTTAAAAAAAAAGCCAGTATCACTTGTCTTTTAGTTTCTACCAGTCTTGCACCAACTTTTTACTCACTGAAAACTTTTCATGCTGTTCAACAATCACTTTCAGCTTGCAGCCCACGAATAGTTCTTATATTTACCCATGATCAGAAAGAAATGCTTCTCACGGTTAATGTATCACTGTCATATGAACTGTACAGTTTAGCTAATGTGGGAAGATGCAAGTCTTACTATATCATGTGACTTACTCATGGCAGCTTCACCTGTCTGCCTGCCCTCTTCTGCTCCATTGGGTTGAGTGACAATACCCTTAGTACTACCGCACTCTAAACAAACCACACAAGCTGGTTTTTGGAAATAAACTGACATTGTGGGTGCGCTGAGAATTCTAGGCTCGCAGCTTGCAATGCGTGAGAAATAAATGCGTATCCATGTGCCACTGGTGAATACATCCCTGCTCTGTACCTTTTAAATGGCATGACAAACAGAATTATACTATGTAACAATTACGGCAATGAAAGGTTGAAAACAAAATTTTGGAAACACATCCCCCACCCCACCCCACACTGCAATGATTATGCAGATTATGCTCTTCCTCCCAAGGAACTCAGTTTATTTGGAAAAAGGAGGCTAGCTTATAAAGACTATCATACAAATATTTATAAAGATTGTCATATAAAATCATATCAATTAAATGCTATAAATGCTATAGGAGTTGAGAGAAGAAAACCAACGGAACCTGGAGTTATTGGGAAGGCTTCTTGTAGGATAGAGGACTTCAGCTGGTCCCTGAAAGGAGTCAAGATTAGAGGAACAATGTGAACAAAGGCATAGAGCCAGGATTGAGTGTTAGGCATTTGTTCCTAAGTGAGGGGATCAGACTAGAGGGACAAAGTAGGGGAGGGAGATAACAGTTGAGAAGTTAAATGATCTTTTCACTCAGAGGATGAGGGAAAATTCATAGAGAATTGATAAATTCATGAGGTAATTCAGTATTCATGAGTGCAGCGCCTCACTCCAAAGGAGGTCTTTTATCTCCTTGAGCTCTGTTTACTTACTCCAGTCTGGCACATTTGTAGCAAGCGCCATTTCCCTTTGTCTCCATGAGTATAAAACTCCAAAGCCCCCAATATCTATGCCCCATCTGAGAGCTAAGCTATTGTCTCCTTAGAGTTGACCTTCAGGAGGAGTTACTGGACAGCTTCCTTATGAGCCAGAGAGAGGGACCCAGAGAGCTGGCCGCAGGAAGACTTGAGTTCAAATCCAACCTTAGATACTTACTAGCTGAATAAGTTATTTAACCTCTGTTGCCTCAGTTTCCTAAATTGTAAAATGGGGATAATAATAGCACCTACCTCCCAGGATTGTTGTGAGGATCACATGAGGTAATGTTTGTAAAGCACTTAGCATAGTGACTGACACATAATAGGCACTATATAAATGCTTATTCCTCCTTCCCACATGTTCTAGGACACAATGCAGTTTGTGGTTTTTGTCTCTGTCAAACTAGCAAACAGATTTGGGCCAAATCACTTAACTTTTAGGTTTCTGTTTTCTCATCTAGAAAATGGGGTTGGCCTAACTGACCTTTAAAACCTTACAGCTCAAAAATTCCATGATTCTGATGCTGTTATAGTACAGGAAATGTGCATAAATTTGGGGGAGCTTCATTCCAGAAATTTGTAATTCAGGCCTGCTGCATATACTTTTTAAAAGAAAAATTTACTCTGAAGGTGCTCAGGAAGGGCCTACTAGAAGAAGGTGTAGGACCCACTGGAGGTCTCAGAATATGCAGCATAAGACTTTAGAAAGAAGCGGTCTTTAGATCAGTGTCTGAAATCAGCTTACCCTTCCAGAATTACCTCTTAATGCAGAATCTCAAAATCACTGGTGGTCTGAGATATAATTTTGCTCGTTTTGCCTCTACCCAGGGTTTCCCCTGACATGTGTCTAGACTTCTTCAACAAAAGAGAAAAGGCTGGCAGCTTCCAGCTTCCTAAGTGATGTAGTGGATGGTGCATCTTGGAATCAGGAAGATCTGAATTCAAATCCTGCTATAGACACCTACCATCTATGTGACCCCGGGCATCAGTTTCTTCACCAATAAAATGGGTTGGACTTGATGTCTCTCATGCTCTTCTTCTCCCTCCTCACTCTACCTCCTGGCTTCCTTCAAGACCCAGTTAAAGTCCCATCTTCTGCAAGAAGCCTTTCCCAGATCTTCTTAATATCTTTCTTTGATCTATCCTGCATGTATCTTGTTTGTACATAATTGTTTGCATGTCACCTCTTTGTTAGACTGAGCTCCCTGACAGCAGGACTATCTGACTTTTCCATGTATCTCCAGAGCTCAGAACAGTGTCTGGCACACTGAATAAATGCTAGATGACT